CTGGGGCTGGGACTGGAGCTACTGCCTTGAGGTGGCTCAAGGTGGGTTATATGCAGGGGAGGGGGCGTGCAGCAGGGGATGACTGCATGGTGCCGGTGTGGGAGGGGTACAGAGGTGAACACATATGTGCAACTGGTGGGGAGCATAGGGAAGACCATGTGGTGGCAGGGGAGACATGAGTTGGAGCTAAAGATGCCAGTATCACTGCTGCTGCCTGCCTTAGGGCAAAACCCAAGCCACAATACACTCTGTACCTGAGCGCCAGAGTTACTGTATAGGGGGTAGATTTACACATTCATTAATGGGCTTTTGGTAATGTGCATTAATTTAGTACCTCCATTGTGAGGTATTAGAAAAAGGCTCATTAACCTATTTTAATGCTAATTAGTGAAAGTACATGGTTTTTGTGATGCGTTGATGTGTATTAAATAGGCTAATGTACATTAAAGTGCATGTGTAGACATGCTCAGGCTAAGTGATGGCAAGGCAGAGTAAGTGATAGGAGGGGCATGTGGTGGAGGGGGCAGGCAGGAGGAAGAGCAAGTAGCAGTGGGGGTGCAGATTTTGGGTGTGAGGCAAATTGCTGTGGGGATAATCAGTAAAAGGGCAGGCACCAGGTGGGACAAGTGGCAGGGGCACAATCATAGCACGATGGAACAAGCAAATGGCAGGGGGGCAGGCATTGGGGGCAAGTGGACAGGAGATAGGAGAGGGGTACAAGGGTCAGGGTCAGACCACCTGTCTCCTATCACTGCCTTCCTGACACGTCTCCCCCCCCCCCCCCCCCCCCCCCCCCTTCCCCCCCCCACCCCCCCACAATACCCCAATGATTTCCCCACCGCAGCAAGTTTATAACAAATTTATAATTTGTAGATCCTAATTAAAGGGAGTTATCTTAAATTCAAAGTCATCTTGGATTTGGGTAAATATTCTATCTCGTTCATGATCAGGATTTTCCAAGTGAGATAAACCAAATGTTAGGTCTATGATATATGTGTTTATAAGATGAACATCTTTGTATCCTCTGATTTAGAAAACATTTGAGGAAAACTCTAAATAAATTATCTAATTTTCATAAGTGCAAACCATCCAGTATCTCCCCCCAAATCAACTAAATACCTCAATAGGTTGTTCCCTTAGGGAGGAATTCAACTTATGTCAGTAAAGAAACAGAACCAGCAATGAGAAAAAAATTCACAAAACTGCAATTTTTTTTTCTTTTTTTCTCTAAAGTTTCAAAATGCAAAATATTTCAGTGCTCAGCACTTTTGGAAATGAAGGTATTCCCCTATTGGGGTGCCTACATTAGAACCTAGGAGCCTACCACTTTAAGCACCCACACTATGAAATTTTTGGCCATAAATTGATAAATAGAACCTAATATATAACACAGAGGCATAATGGGGAGAAGACAAAACAGTTTAAACTAATACAGAGCATACTGTCACTTTATTTCTGTGTAATTAGTTTTAATCAAGTAACAATTACTTTCCTTTTTATCTCTGCATTTTCTACCTTGCATGATATTAAATCAATACTAGCAGGCATATATGCCATCTGTTCCCCAAATTTCAGAGGACTAATCTTAAACACTGGGTCAACAGTGGCCATCTTTACCTGGCAGCTAATATGGCCAAGCATCTTCCTTTGACTTGGGACTTTAATTTAATTAGAGTCCCCTGCTGTTGGACAGTCTTTGTCCTACTATTCATTTTAGCAGTAGCAAAATTTTGCAACATTTCTAATTCTTCAGAGGTGGCTCCATCAGGAAGAAAGCTCCCTACATCCCAGAAGCTATTAAACATAAGAACATCTTGGCACTGAATCACCTTTATGCAACTGCTGGAAAACCAGTCTGAATTAGACTGCATTTACGTAAATCAGTGCAGTAATGGTACTCTCTGCTGTTTTCGCCCTTACAAAAAGAATTTAAAGAAAAGGGGGAGAGAGAGAGAAAAAAAGAGAGAGAGATCAATAAGAAAAATAGTTCTGATCCAGCCATACCTAAGAGAAAGAAATGACAATAATGGCATTAGTCCTACTGACAATCGGTCCTATAACCACTAAATATAGCAGGTTATATATGCAGGTATATTTTAAGTCCCTTAACAAGGTATCCCATCAGATCACAGAAGACAAAGCAAATGCTCAAGTTGTAATACCACTATACAGTCATAAGAGATATCAGCTATAATTTGGAGCACTGAAATCATTACTCAGAAGTGCTTTTCTGTTCTTTCTGTGTTATAATGATATTTCTTGAGTATGTTGCAGACTTGTGTAGGGCACGACGGTGCTTTGCTATGGGCATAAAAGTGGAGTACTGTGACAAAGTTTGGTCCACATTGATTCAGCTGTGAGTGGATACATGGTTATCAGGTAGTAAAACCAAAAGTATGTGAATTAAAATCTGCTAACATTGTTTCCTTGTGTGCTGTTGCCTACCAATACTAGTGTGTCTGAACCCCATTGTCCAATGAGTTGCCAAGGCTTGGGATAGTCTTTAGACTTGGATTGCAGTCTTATGCACTCATGGGTCATGTCTCCCAGAGATCAAGCTAAGCTAAGTGTGTGTGTGTGTGTGTGTGTGTGTGTGTGTGTGTGCGCGCGTGTGTGGTATGTATGTTTGTATGTCTGTGTACAGATATCACGGAAGGTAAGTAAGGTAAGTACATGCAGAAGGTTGGTAAGTATATGTCCTAATCTTCAAAAGTACTAAGCAGCTCCAACAAATTCAATGTGAGTTGATCAATAGTTAACACTCTTGAAAAACAGGCTAAGTCATTAAAGGTGGACTTTGGCTTTTTAGTCTATGTTCTTCTGATCAAGGATTTGAAATAATTAGTTTTCATTGAAAATTTTATTTTTGGACTATATTTTTTCTTGCCAATGCTGGGTTTCCATGAGCAACTCTAGGCTCCAACTTTTTAAGCAAGTCTGGCCTTAATGCCGGCCACACATTCACTCTTAAATCCATAGCTGAACCAGGAGTTGCACTTAGATGGCCTCATCCTAATATCATCCTGCCCAAGCCATTGCCCATATCACAAAATTATCAGCCTGCCTGAATGCTTAAAATATTTTTTTTTCTCCCCCCCACTTCCACTGCAAACTGCTTTTAATAATGCTATTGTTTTAAACTTTTGCTTTTAGAAATGGGTGTCTGCAATGTAGAAATATTTGGGAGAACTTCTCTGTCTCATCCAAATATTAATTTTTAACAACCCCTGCCCTTTCCCCCACTCCAGAAAAATAACTTTGGGATTTTGTTTTGATGAAATGTTTTAAGTTCTTTAAAAGAATTCACAGATAATAAGATAGAAATGTTTCTATAATGTGCTCTTTTTGTTATCCACTGTCCACTTTCTACTTCCCTTTTCTCCCACAATTTTCTCAATCTGTCTTTTCTCTCAGTCCTGAAAAGTCATGAACTCTCAGAGGCAGCATGGCCAGTCACCGGCTGCTGAAGTTCTATTCTTGTGCCTCCCCAAAAGCGGCACTTAGGGCTCCTGTGCTGGTCTTCAGTTGTTACTGCAATCTTAGTCCTTCTGCTTCCACTTTCCAACATCATTCCTCTTTTTTAAGTCTCATTGAACTTTCATCCCCTAAGTAGGAAAATGGAATGAAATCAGGGGCACAGAAGGAGGGGGAATACTGCCGAGCCAGCACAAAATGGTTGAATGCTGTCATCTATGCAAATTTGAGATATGTCGTGAAATAAAGCTTGGCCAGGCAGAAAGGTATGTTATGTTTTATTACCTTGATTCTCACAGGTGAATGTGAGCTACAGCCTGCTCTGCACTGCATTTTTGTGATAGTATAATTCCATCACTGAGGGTTGTATTTTTTTTTTTTATTAGCGATATAGTCATATTGGTATAAATGTGCCTTAAGCAGTTAAAAGATTAGCCCTTCATTTTGTCTAGAATTGTTTGATAAAATATTTTTCATTGAGAAATGACAATTTTTGGATATTACAGTATGTCTTCCCTCCCTGCCCACCTCCCCCCCTTTTAAAGTAAGCTTTGCTTCAATTGGAAGAAAACCTAAGGAAGAATAAAATCAAACAGCCCCTATGTGATGTCCACATTTTCAAAATACACCATCTGTTGCTGATGTTTCATTTGCAAATAGCAGCTAATGATAAGAAATACCCAGTTTAAATAGTTGAAATTTTGAAATATTTTGTAAATTTGTGCTTGGGTTTTAAATTCGCACATGTTTTCAAGAGCCTTGATTTTTGGTCCCAGCTCATGACAACCATTTTATTCAAGTTTTATTTATCCTATTTTTGTCTGAAACTAGCTATAAGATATAAAATAGCTTTATAGTCATATAAGTATGTCCAGTTAAAAGGATTCTATCATTTTAACATCAGTATAGTTACTACAGTACAATTTTTTGGGTGTAGACAAACCCAAAGTGGTGATTAGCAGCTGAATGTGGGGTATGTGCTTCCTCATCAACTTGTTCTCTCACTTTGGCAAAGTCAGCTATCCTCTCTGTGTGTCAGTTTACCAATCTGGGTAACAGGAATGGTCATGAATGTATCTATAAGCATTTCTACTGTATTCTTTCCTACACTGTCACTTTACAATGCATAATCATCTCTCAAAGGCAGAGTTCTTCTCCCAACCACTCTTAGTTCTTCTAGTTTCTGACAACGATAAACTGGTCAAGATAAACATGGTTGAATGTAGTATCAGACTTAACTGATTTAGGTCAAACCAGTTTATGAAACTTCTGTCCCAGGCCCTTTCCTGGTTCATGTTAAATCAGAGTTCCCCCAGCATGCTTTGCAGTCCTGGGCTGGGTTGTGCTGTCTGCTCCAGAAAGCAGGGTTGGCCCTGCACTTCTGCTACTTAGCTGACTCACTGGCTGGCTCTGTGCAAATCCCAAAGGCTTTGGGGCAGCAGGAAGAGGAAGCAAACACACAGCCCATGTTGGCTGTGCAAGAGAGCCATGCTTTAGCACCCTTCCCCAGCTTCTGGCCTGAGCCATTGCAGGTGTGTGGCTGCATTTCTTGAAACAAAGGTACATGTCTGTCGAGTTGTTTTTTTCAGTTTAATCTCTGCAGCTTAAACTAACCTGCAAAGACTGAGTCAATTCAGCCTTGGGCTTTTTGACTGTCTGTACTTTACCTTTATGTGGAATAGATTTTGACAATACCAGCTTGGGGAAATTTGGATCTTATAACTGTTTGTGATATAATCCTGTCTAAGGACAATTGTGGATATTAGAGTTGCATTGTCTAGGTGCTATATAAACAAGATAAAAAGTTTTCCTGCACCTATAAAGTGTTGAGGTTTTGGATACGATTTACAAAACAACTATAACAGTTGTCTGGCCAAATCCCAATGAAGGTCAGCATAACGTGGGCAAACTCTAATGCTTTTGAGAATCTCACCAAAAATAAACAGGAAGTAAGAAGAGAATTGATTTGGCCAGGGTCACACAGCAGATCTATAGCAGACCAAGGACTGGATATCATTCTCCTTTGCACTGTTTTAATCCCTATATCACAGTGTTTCTTTATCTCTTACTGAGACCTGTGCAGAGTCTAAATCCGTTTTTAATACATACCATCTTCACAGTGAATCTGTAAGGATGCTGTAGTAATTGGACAACTATAGGGTTAAAGTGTTAGTCCTTATTAATATGCGATGGAGCTTGAGAACTAGAACTCTACCCTCTGTTGTTTCTTTTTCCCAGTTAGGTGTTGTTTGTTCCTGAATAAAACAGCCTGAGGTTTGGGGCCTGGAAAAAAGCGAGGGCCCTTGTACACATACTCAGCATTTAGTCACTAAAAGTGTTCCTGGTTTACTTTTTTCTTTCTTTGTTTAAGATGGCTAAATAAGTAACATGAATGTGATTTACCATGCAATGGCTTATTATGCTGTAACTGGTAAAATGTTCTAGGGGGCATGTGAGAACAAGTTTACCCCTGCCCTTTCAGTACTATTTTACTGCCAGGTGGTATTTTAGGAGATATGATATTTTGGTTGCTTTATTTTCTTGGGTCATGCCAGGTTGCTTTTTGGGAAGAATTGTTGGTGGTTTTGCTTGAGAGAGATGCATTTTTTTTTTTTTTTTGGGGGGGGGGGGATCCTGCCTGCCTGAAGGGGGGGGCCCCCTACCCAAGCCTGGTCCCAAAGCAGTTCTGCCCCCTGCTTTTTCTGCAGGCTTGTTGCACTGGGTGCTAGGTATGGGGTACAGTTAGGGCTACACAAGGGTACACAAAGGGTCTGGCTGCTTTCCTCCCCCCCGCCCTGTGTGTTGGCATCTGGGTTATCATGTACCCTGGCTACCCCAGGCTAAAGCCTGAATGGAAACATTACTACAGAAATTTTTATATAAAACAGAAAGAATCCTGTGTCTCCTGTCTGCCGTTTGTATCCTCATGTCAAAAAGCAGGATTTTTTCCAAAGCTGAGAACCAGTGCGGGGGTGGCTGTTACACAAATTGCCAATTGCTCAAATCACAAGCACGACCTTATAAGGGAGGATAAAGCAAAATGCTGTGTTTATTGATTAAGCACTTACACACACACACACACACACACACACACACACACACACACACACACACACACCCCTACACCCCTCACCACATTCATACCCCAATTTCTGTTCTGCACTGGTATACATTACCAGTCTTATCAGTAAATAGGTAAGGATCAGGATTTTTGTCACGTGGACACAGAAAAAGTGTAATGTGGTAACAGGAGACGTGTATAACATGGACAAGCGCCCTAAGCCTCAGTATTCTTTGTTAACCAAGGAACTTAACAGATGCTTATAAACTTCATTGAGTTTCTTGCCGGAAAGGTGTCCAACATGGACTGTATTGCTATTCAGTAAACCCCTTGCTGAGGCTAAAAGAGTCTGAGGTGAAGCTTCCAGCTTCTTCTACCCTGACACATTAGCTTTGAACTTGGTTCCCCATGAGGGAGCATGTTATCATGTCTACATGTAATCAGACCAATACAGCTGCCTACATATTCTTTTTAATTGGATTGAAGTTAATCACAGCAGGATTAATTTGAAGAGATCAAGGAAACAGTGATTTTTGGTGAAAAGCAGATGGCTTCTTCTGAATCGAATAAAGCTTTGATAACAGTTCGAGGTGTTTAGCATTTGAGGGGTTTTTGAGAGTAAAAGCTCAGGGATTCTTTACAGTAATGATAGTATAATATAATCTCCAGTGCATAAGATGCCAGTAGAAGTACACCTCAGAGAAAGTCTGCACAGTTTTCAAATGAGACGCTGTGTTCTGCAAGGTGTCAGCACCTGAATAGCACTATAAACTAAACCTGGAGGTATGAAAAAGTACATCTAAATGCATAATAGTTTTTTTTTTTCCCCCCTCAGGAAAACCAACCAAAGTAACAAAAATAGAAAAGACAGTGTTAAGTTAAAGCTGGGACTATGTACATCTTTTAAATCATGTTTAGAGAGTATTGTTGCTTGTAATATGAATTACACAAAGCCAAGTTTTCAAGAGTGATTAGTTATTTAATGTGCTTCCATTTTTGTATGTGCAAATTAAGGCATCTTAAAGATGTTTGGTTTGACAAAATGCTGAGCACTTGTCTTTTACGTGTCAGAGCCCTTTAAGATATGTTGATGTGGGTAAACTAAAATGAAGGCAGACCGCATTCTTACATATTTTTTCAAATTATCACTAAAGTAAACAAGAAGAGCTATTTAGTTATTTACTCTCCCTTCTCTTTACACCTCTTAGAAGAAAGCATTACAGTGAAGTACCCCTCCCAACTCCCACCACCAACAATGCACAGAGACACTGACTTTTACACCAAGGAAGACCTAATCAACACATTTTGTGAATGACAGAGGATGATAAGGAGAGGTAAGTAGAGTAAGCTTAAAACAGGATCTAACAATATCAACTGTCTCTAGTGGGTTATGGAATAGAGAAAATCCCACACAATTTACTGATTCGTTTTGATGCACTGGCTGGGGGAGTAGTTAGCTGATTGCATGATTTCACAATGATTACACACTTAATTTATACAACACAATTTTATTTTAAAACTCTTTGCTACGTATATAATACTGCTTAGCTTTAAGAAACACCACAAACATTAAAAACACAATAATTACATATATCAGAAACAATGCTCCGAATGCACTTCCTTCCCAAACAATGCTATAAGAATTAGTGTTACAAAAAGAACTACAATTACAACTAAAAGTTAAATTTGAATCAATACTGTTATTTTTCATAATATACTTACACTCCTAGAATTCCGAGAAGCCAAATACCAAAATATTGTTTCATTCCTCAGTAGTACGATTTAATGGGTTGGCCTCAGTAGTACGGTTCAATGGGCTTGCCTCAGCAATACAATTCAATAGGCTGGCCTCAGCAATATGATTCAGTGAGCTGGGCTCAGCAGTGATAGGACTAAGTCACCTTCCTTCAGTCCCTTTCGGGCGCTCCGCGGCTTCAGCGTGAACTAAGAGATTCGTGTTCACGGAGAGGTTGGGTCAGGTGATCAATCTGGTCCGGGCTACACTTGCGATTCTTCCTTCGTTGTTCTGCAAGTGAAGTCACCTCCAAACTGGGACAGTAGGCTACAGGTTTTTATTGAGTGAGCTGCCGTCAGTGGGCTCCTCCTACTCAATTTGTCACTACTCCCAAATTTGGGCTCGGATCTTACTCAACAGATTCTTTTGAAATTACCTTTGTTGAGCATTTTAAATTACTCTTGGGGAGACTTCTTCCATATCACTGTAAATACCTTTTTTTTTTACCAGTCTGGTTAAAAGGCCCTAGGCTTTGATGTCTCAGAACTCAGGATATTTGCTTTCTTTGTAAAAGACTTCTAAAGATACAATTTAAATTAAAGCTTTAAGTGAAGTCAGGACATTTTGCACGTAGCCCCAAAACAATGAGCTAGATAAGGAGATAAATCCTATCTTCTTCCTGAAACTGGCTAATGGGCAACCTTTACAAACATTCAAACTATTTCATTCAATATGACATCAACCATATTGCAGTTAATAAGTCAATGGGAACTACAACTGGGAAAGTAATTTCAATCTAGAGAAAGCAAAATAAATAAAGGAAAACCTGCAACAGTTGTAAAAAGCAAAAACAAAAGCCACAGAAAGTGTTTCACAGTGAGAGTCCAGCTCAGAAGATACTTTCCAGGTTACTGAGCTGGCTTTATGTGGACATTTTCAGTTTCTCTCTCACTGTATTATGACCAACAACAGGACCATAGCAGGATGCAGGGAGTGATGTGCATTACTTAAGGTAACGTTGTCAGGATGAGTGAAGTGGGGTGGGAACAGTCTAAAAAACAGTTGTCCAATTTTTGGAGTGGATGGGGCAACAGGCTCTCGGCCACACACTGCATGGGTTGCCTGCTGTGCTGTGTAAGACTCCCACCTTCCTGCTGCACCATGCTGTACAGGGTCCCTGGGTCCCTCTGACCCATCTGGCAAGCCATGGGATCTCTCAGCCCTGTGGGTGGTTATGTCCCCAGAGACAGAGGCAAAGACAGAAAGCAGAAGCAGGAGAGGGAGGGGTAAGGGAAGACTTTGAGTTCGGAAGCAGGAGAGCAATGGGTGAAATACCTCCCAGGCCAGACAAGGAGAGGTGGCAGGCAGGTTTACCATTTGGGGGCTGGATGCAACCTGCAGACCACTAGTTGGACAGTGCTAATCTAGTAGGAAAAGATCCATTATGCAGGTACATCCGCACTGCAGTCAGTAGTGTGATTGCAGTATGTGTAGCTATACCTAGGCTAGTGTTAAATTAGCCAAATTAGTTACCAGAGTTCAGATTTGCACCTGAATTTTCATTTAGGAACATAGAAATAAGAGAGACAATCTGGTTCAGTGAGTCCCTGCATTTGTAGGCAATCATTCAGCTAAGGAATTCCCAGGATTTCTACTTCAAACTTTCACCTGCAGCTACCAGGAATGATATCCAGAAACATGAAGATCACTCTATAACTTGCCACGTGTAAAGCAGGGACAACAGGGCACTGTCAATGCCCTGGCACTGGAATGACAGTGAGGGAGATGGTTACTATATGCTCAGAAGATACAAGGAAAAGACCATGCCTCATGCTACATTAGAAGGGAAAAATCTTAAAGCTAGGTCTGGTAAACCTGAGGGCAACATAGTCTGAATCAACCTTATTTTTAAAGTGAATAGGGTTTTATTCTTTGTTTTAAATAATCAGTTGATCCATTTCTTTAATAGAGTTTGAAATTTGTTTAGAAAATGTTGGTCTTGGGCCTTGATTTTATTATTTTTTTCTTTTTTATATAAATGGGAGTAAGACACATAATCATTTTTCTTACTCTGTTTAAAGAAACAAGAAGGGAGACAGATTTCTCTATCTTTTGGTACTTCCTCAAATCCTCAAGTATCTAGGACAAATGTTTTGAATGGGTAAACTTACCTTGAACTCAGCCAATACAAAATAGTTTTCCACAGAGCATAGGGCTGCCATTTTTTATTGAGAAATATGGCCTCCCTTCTGCATAGAAATGACAGTTAAGCACCTTGGTTGAATGTATAAAAGGCTTAAGCAGCAAAACAAATAATCTTACTGAAGGAAACTATCCAATATTTTCTCTGCCATAGAATGTATTCATGAAAGATTTTCAGATTACAAAATCATCACTCTGTGTATGAAGAGAGTCAATAGCGATTACTAGGTTGACTTGTAGTTTTAGGTTCTGTGACGACCACAGGAAGAACATTTTGGGAGTTCTTAGAGTGTTGTATAGAGGCAGGGAACAGTTGGGCAGTGATGCTGATATTATTCATATGAAACTACAACCTAAGACTGGGGGCTCACTGTGCTAGGTGCTGTACATGTAGAGAAAAAGAGATTCCCTACTCTGAGAAATTTACCAGTTTATCCAGATTGAGAAAATTATGGGAAAGGAAAGTATTTTATTAAGGGGCAACCAAAACACAGAGGGTAGGTCTTTCAAAGCAGTTATAAAATTTAGAAGCCAAAATTGCGTTGTAAAGCAATGGGAGTTCAGATCCTAAACCACTTAAGTGTTTTAAAAAATATTACCTTAGAGATTAAGTGCAGAATTCAGTATTACTGGAATAGGTTTGCCATCTCCAGATGTGCATATTCCTGTCTATTTCTCCAATAAAAGAACTTACGTTCCTGAAATTAAGTCATAAAACTGTTTCTAGCGTATGTTTCCAGAAAATGCTATTTAGACGTTTGCTTTTAGAAATTGGCTTGTAGGTAAACTAGATATTGTATTACAACAATGGTTTAGGGGAATGACAAGGGTTAATTGATTTCTAAAAGCCTGTTTTTCACACAGTTTCACAGCCTTCAAGGCAGGCAGGGTGTCTGAGGCCAACAGACAGACACATCCAGGAAAATTAAAAACATCCAAACTTTATTTTTCATAATAGAGAGAGGCCTGGCTCCAAGGCTACAGTACCACTTGAAAAAACCCCTTGGGATTTCTGGTTTCAAATGAAATGACCAAATTAAGGTGTGTGCATGTGATAAGTTTATGAAGATAGGATTTTGGCTGACAAAACAGCACATGGACAACATGGTGGCCCCAAGGAAACCCATTGGCAATACCCAAAAATGAAGAGTCATTGGAGAAGAAAGAATACAAAAGGAGGAGTTTTCAAAACAGCAAGTTGGCATAGGACCCTGACCTCCAAGCTTGCTGACATCAGACTTTCAAACAAAGAACCTTAAGGTTGCATTTACATACTGGCCAGATGCACTGCTCACCTTGTGTATATTCTGGGCACTGGGAAATTTGTTTAATGTATGTTGTAATCATCTTGTTTGTTTTGTCTGCATTGCTCTTATTTCCTTTCACTGCGTATCAATAAAATTCACCTGTTGTTAACCAGAGGAGTTGTGGTCAGTCTAAAGGTTATGCTTGCCCAGAGCAGGGTACCAGAACTGGGTTGTGAATCCAGTGCCAAAACTACCCATTGGTCAGGAAAATCAGAGTCAGCCTAAAGCTGTACTTTGTCATCCACTGGGGGCATATCTATACATTCGTTAATGTGTGTTTGCTACTGCACATTAAATGTAGTACTTCTAATGTGAGGTACTAAATAAATGCACATTAGGCTGCCCTAATGCTCAGTAGTGAAAGTCCATGCTTTTTTCGTGAACTTAATGCACAGTAGCCTTTTTTTACTGCACATTAGTGTTTTAGCGTGGTTTTTTGATGTGATGCTTTAATGTACAGTAAAATAGTAGGGCTGTGCAAAGCTTCGGGTACTGATCTGATTCAGAGGAGATTCGGCCCGATTTGGTGGCTGAATCTCCGAATCCAAATTGAATCCAGGGACCAATTTAAAAGTATGAATCAATTCAAAGCTCTCTGAACCTTTTGAAAAGATTTGGAGAGTGTTGATGATTTGGGCAGTCCCCGTTGGCTGCAGTAGAGAGCTGCAGCTGACTCTGAACTAGTAAGTACTAGGGCCAGGGGAAGGGGGATGGGGGAGCAGGGAGGGGACCATAGGGGGACTGCTGCCAGCTCCCAGCAGCCTCCCCCATGGCTGCCCTGCCTGCCCCAGCTTGGTACTTTAAAAAAAAGCCCCAGTGCTCACTGGCTGCTGCTGGGCAGGGGTCAATCCCCACTGCCCCCACTGCCCCACACTGCATGCGGGGCTCTGCATGAGCTTCCCAACCTTCCCTCACTCCCCCCAGCCCCCCACAGGCACCCCACCCAGGCCAGCTCTGACCCTTTAAGAAAAAAAAAGCCAAGAAAAGCCCCGGGACTCACTGATCCTGCAGCGGCCTCAGGGCTTTGGAGGCTTGTGCAGAGTCCCCCATGTTGTGCAGGGCAATGGGGGCAGCAGGGATTGCCTCCTGCCTGTAAGCAACCGGAGAGCACCAGGGCTTTTTTTTTAACTAGTGCCAGGAGCTGGGGCAGCTAGGGCAGCGATTGCTGGGCTGGGAGAGGGGCAGGGGATGGGCCTGGCCCGGCTGATTCGGAGATTCAGAGATTTGGCACAACCGAATCTCCGAATCAGATTTGGCCAAATCAAATCACCAAATCAAATCACTGTCCCCTGAATCAGCTGAATCTGAATCCAAAGCCAATACCAGCTGCTTTGCACAGACCTATAAAATAGTCATCTGCACATTAAAGCGCGTAGGTAGATGCACCTTGAGTGAAATAAAATTATGCCTGGCATCAAAAAGGAAATTGAGATGTATTGAATCCTACACCAATTCTTTAGGTAAACACCTAGTCCATTGCTTTTACAAATGGCTATAGAAGGGTTATGTAAGGATAACGACGTGTCTTTTTATAAAACTATTCAACTATAAAGTCCTGAAGAGCCCAAAAGCAGGAAAAGAAAGTTAATAAATAGGGTGTGTCTATACATGCATTTTGTACTACAATACTCACTCATTCATACCACTTGCCCTGTCTCACATCCTCTGGCACATGAGTACCAAAATAACTTTTCATGGTTAAACAGAATACCACAGTGCAGGAACATTTAGAAATCAGCTCTGCATAGTACAACCAGTTGCTTTCCCTTGATTGCTCTTTTTGTGTGAAGAGCTTGTCCTTCACACATCTTCTGCAGCAGAGAAATTTCTCGGCTAATCAGTGCACTAATGAGACAGTTGTTCTGTTAATAAAAAATTTAGAAACTGGCAAAGAAAAAAAGCAGCTTTGCAAATGAGCCCTTTTCTTTTGCTAGCATTTCCATTCTACTCAAGTGCCACAAAATAGCTCTTCAGCCAAGACTTAATCTTTGGTACTTAAACTTTTGATTTCCTTCTCCCCAGTGTCATGAACTGAATAATGGTGTTGTGGGAACATCCTGAGAGGGACTAGGTCAATCCCACTATGCTTGTGTGAATGACTATGTTTATTATATTTGAGTTTGTGAGCCCCAAATGAGATTAGAGCCCACTGTGCCAGATGCTGTTCAGACACAGAATAAGAGTTCCTGCTTCAAAGTCCTTACACTCTGAATAGGTATGTGGGGAGTCTGACAACACATTCTCATGGCAGTAGTGGGAAAGCAACAGCGTATCTCCATCAGCCCTGACTGCCTGGGGGACAGCTAGAGCTAGAGCTGGATAGAGAAACCAACCAGCTAAAAAGCCCTGGATGGAGTGAGAATCTGCCCCTGACGAGGACTGAGTGAAATGTTGTCAGTGAGCAGTCAATTACCAAAAAAAACCAAACCCCACAACTGCAAAAAAACTACTAGATGGCTTTCTTTTGAGGAAATGGGACATTTAAGAGCCTTAAAAGTGAAATAAGATCAGCTGTCCTGGAGGAGATGAATAGATGGTAAAATGAAATCAGGGACATTGAACCCATGCAGAGAGGTGATCTAGATGACTAACTAATGTTTTGCCAACAGTTCAATAAGTAGCTGGAGCAAACAAACTTTTTTAGCAAGTTAAATAACTTGTCAAACTTACTTAGTTCATTGGGAATGGGTCTACTGCCACTAAAGAAGCAGGCAAATTGAAGCAAGCTCATTTACTCTGCCCACATTACATTGTTTGCTATTGTAACTTTCCTAGAATGCAATGCTTCAGAGTAATAACCTATGAACCGTGGGATAACAGTCCAGAGAACGTTGCAAACAGATTGCTGTGAATGCTAGTGTGGATGTCAAGCAACCTGTAGATCAGTTAAGCTGAGCTATTATGTACTCATTGAATCACTAGCAATTATGACAAAATTGATTGTACTGAACTAGCTTAAAGGATTCACATCTCAAATGCATGTTTCCTATTCTGCTAAATAAAGTAAAAATTATTGCAGATTTTCCCATCTGTGTTTTCATTTTTGTCTCATTTCCTGTTCATATTATTCTATTGTTTCAAATGCAACACGAATAGTGCTTTAGAGAATTATCAAATATTCTATGGGACAAAAAAAAAAATCACTCTTAAAATTCAGCAAAATGAAAATTTGAACTGCTGCAACTTGTATCTATGGTTAAACCTGTCAATCAATACTTTTAAAACTCATTACTTTAAAAAGTTATTTTCAGCTGCTCTCTTACAGGTATTTTTGTTCTTTCACACAAATATCTCGCTTCAAAATTTATAAATGTAAGAATTTTTTTATTTTTTTTATTGTCCCATGTCTTAATGGTTAAAAGTGAATTACTAGCAAATTTAATGGGGGAAAGCAATGGATCAGGGCCTTGAAAAGTGGCAGGGACTTTCCACTGCGGACTCATGATGTGTTTTCATCTTTGGGCGTTTTTGATCATAAGTGGGTTCATCTACACAAGATGCTAAATGCACAGCAAACTAATTCTACTGTGCACTACTGAGTCACCGCAAAAGCCAATCTAACATGCAGTAGAATTAGTCTACTGCACGTTAGCATCATTAAAACACTATGCAATGGTGGTACTGTTCAGTAGCACCAGTTACTGCACATTGAGTTACTACCTGTTATTACAAGTACTAAACTTAATGGGCAGTAACAATGGCATATTAATGCATGTGTAGATGCACCCACAGACATTCTCTGTTACAGGGTTATCTCACTGAAACTCTGTATATGCATCATGAACTTTCAGTAGCTGATATACAGGGAATAAAAGTGCTACCCTTAAAGTTTATTCTCTATCTGCAGTGGCAGGAAGTCACTATGATTGAAAGGGGAGACTTTGGTGTCAGTAGGACTGGTTGAAATTTTGGGGCAAAATATTTTTCAAGAAAGAAGTAAAAATAATAGATGTTGGCTTGCCAAAAAATGATTCATTCTGGGGGGGAAAAAAGTTGGAAGTTAGCATTTTGATTAAAAATCAGCTTTAATTCTGAAATTTCCTTTAAAATTATTGTTAACACACCCCAAAATGTAAATCAAGGAGTTAGAATAAAAAACAGAGCATTTCAGTTTGTGTTGAACAAAACTTTTATTTTTGACAAAAAATGTTTTAGCCTTTTTTCAATTTTATTCTGTTTTCAGGAATGTCCATGTAATCAAGAAATGCATTATTTTAATAGCTCTAATTCCTACTGTATAACTTACCATTATAATTTTACAGCATTAGTCTCCTGCTTAATGTTACAACAGAGTTCCTGAATGTATAATGTTTGAGCTCCTGCAGTGAAAACAATTTGAGAGTATCCAACCATGGACCTGATCCAAAGCTGATTGAAAATAATTGGAAACATTTATGTCAAATGGGCTTGAGTTCAGGCCCTATAGATTCAGTAGTCCCTAGATAAAAGAAGCTGAAATGCATATGCACATAATGAGAGGGAAAGGGAGTTTTGGTAAAGGAATAGATTTGTTTCACGCTTCAAAGATGAAATGAAAATGAAAATAAACAGTGAGGGGTAAAAATATTTGAATTACAGCATGAAAATACCATAACAGTTTCCTCTTAATTTCATTTAATTCTGTTAGCTTTTACTTCCATTTAAGGGTCTCTGCATCTTGCTAGTCCTGCATTTATCAGGGTAATAACTGGACATTTATAAGAAACAATGTGGGGTCTTTGTTTTTGTTTTTTTTCTTTTCTGCTTTTACTTATGTGTTCTGCTTATCCATGGCTGCATTTGCACAAGACTCTGACTACACAGTAGCTTGTTACTACTGTGCAGT